GCTCACCGAAGGGAGGCTGACGATCTGAAGTTGGCCATGCAAAGGATGAAGGCCGACGCCTCCGCCTCCGCCTCCGCCAATGAGATTGCTCGATTGAAAGAAGCTGCTGCCAAGTTTGAGGCCGAAGCAACCGAGCAAATTCTCTCGCAGCACGATGTCGGTTTCCAGCAGGCCGTCAGGCAAGCTTACCAGTTTTGTGATGTTCCTGTTGGCTTCCAATTCGATGTGAGCCGAGACTTCCTAGGGGGTCGGTTTATGAGCTACGCTGAGTTCCCCCAAGGGGCTCAGCCCGACGCCGAGGCCCCTCGTCAGGGGAGCGCAACCCGAGCCCCCATCCAGGCAACCGAGGAGGAGGATCCAATTATTGATGTCGTTGGTGACGGGAACCCTACTGATTCGGCAGTCGTATAGGGATTGGCCTTGGTAGTTAGGGTTTTTTGTAACCGGGCCCTTAGTGCCTTTTGCAACTTTGGCCATTGGTGCCAGTACATACTGCTAGGATTTAACTGGTAGTGTTAGGATTTTTTTTGTAAGTAGCCGTTTTAATCGGCCAAACTTAATGAAATATGCTTTGATTATAGGGGGCTTTGGTTTGAAAGTGATCGGCCGCGACATTGTATGACGTGTGGGTTCTCGGTTAGCTTTTGCTCGGTTTGAAAGTGCCTTGATTCTGCATTGATCGAGTTAGGAGTGTGTGAGTTTTCGGTTAGCGAGTGTTCGGTTTGAACACGTTCGGTCTTGAAATCATGATAGTGGAGCGCGCATGAGTTATAGGTTAGCGGGTGCTCGAGTGCATTTTCTCGTCGTTAGCAGAGTATAGCTCGGCAACGTCGTGGATGGGGATAGTACTCAGCTTAGGTACATCCTTAGCCGAGGAGGGTACTCGGGAGGGAAACCTGTTGGGCGCGAGTTCACTTTGTCGTCATCGGCCGAGCATTTCTCGGCTCCATCGTGGTTGAGGATAGTGCTCGGCCTAGGTACATCCTTAGCCGAGGAGGGTACTCGGGAGGGAAACCTGTTGGGCACGAGTTCACTTTGTCGTCATCGGCCGAGTATTGCTCGGTTCCGTCGTGGTTGGGGATAGTGCTCGGCCTAGGTACATCCTTAGCCGAGGAGGGTACTCGGGAGGGAAACCTGTTCGGCACGAGTTTGCTTTGTCGTCGTCGGCCGAGTATTGCTCGGTTCCGTCGTGGTTGGGGATAGTGCTCGGCCTAGGTACATCCTTTGCCGAGGAGGGTACTTGGGAGGGAAACCTGTTGGGCACGAGTTCACTTTGTCGTCGTAGGCCGAGTATTGCTCGGCTCTGTCGTGTTTGGGTATAGTGCTCGGCCTAGACATAGAATACAAACGTAAACGATATGATGAAATTTTGAACTTTATTAATGAAGTGCCTCGTTAAAAACCTTTCTGACCCAAAACCCTCCTTAGGGAAAAAAGAGTCGGTCAAGGAAAAGAGTGCACCATTACATCAGCTGTAATACATCTTTAAGTGTGTCGAATTCCAAGTCCTAGGAATAGGTTCTCCTGATAGGTATTCTAGCTTGAATGCTCCGTTGTTCAGGTTGTGTCGGATGCGAAATGGTCCGTCCCAATTTGAGGCGAGCCTCTCCTGTCTTGGATCTTTTCTTGCTTCACCTGTGGCTCTCCAAACGAGATCTCCTTCTCGGAATTTCCTTGGCTTCACCTTGCTGTCGAATCTTTGCTTGTAGCGTTGCTTGGTGGCCTCGGCTATGACTAGTGCTCGGTCACGGATCTCTTCTACCATGTCCAAGTTTGTTCGGAGTTCGGTTTCATTGCTTGCTTCGTCGAAATGGGCTCGGCGGAACGACGGTTCTCCGATTTCCACTGGGATCATCGCGTCGGATCCATAGACCAAACGGAAAGGTGTTTCTCGTGTGGTTGACTGAGGGGCGCATCGGTAGGCCCATAACACCTCGGGCAACAGCTCGGCCCATGCTCCCTTTGCCTCTCCTAATCGTTTCTTCAATTCTGCCAAGATGACCTTGTTGGCTGATTCGGCTTGACCGTTTGTTTGTGGGTGCTACACCGATGTGACCTTGTGTTGTACTCCTAAACCGGTCAGAAATTCGTTTAGTTTTCGGTCTGTAAATTGCAACCCGTTGTCGGTCAAAAGAGTGTGCGGGACGCCGAACCGTGTGATGATATTCCTCCACAGAAACTTTTGTACTTGATGAGCCGAGATGCACGCCAACAACTCGGCTTCGATCCACTTGGTAAATAGGTCAACGGCGACGATGAGGAACTTGCATTGGCCCTTGGAAACCGGGAAAGGTCCGAGTATGTCGGCCCCCCAAGTAGCGAATGGCCATGCTGGGGGAATGCAATGTAACTGCTCGGCCGGCTGATGAATCAAGTTACCGTGCTTTTGACACGGTTGGCACTTCTTCACGAACGTCACGCAGTCAGTGTTTATGGTCGGCCAATAGTATCCGGCTCGCAAGAGTTTGGAGACGGTCGTCCTAGCTCCCGAGTGCATCCCGCATATACCCTCGTGTACTTCTCTCATCACGTAATCGGCCTCAGCGGGGTTTAGGCATTTAAGCAAGGAGGTAGAAAAGCTGCGTTTGTACAACTGGCCGGCGATTACGACGTATCTACTAGCTTGAGTTCTCAATCGTTTGGCTTCGGTTGGTTCGGCCGGAACGATTCCGCCAGTGAGAAATGCCTTGAGTTCTTCCCGCCAATCTGGGGGGTCGTTGGAGTCGTCCAGGTCGGGGTTGACGTTTGCTACCACTTCATGCTCAACACTGGGGTGGTCGATTTCTTGTTGAATGATTTTTCTTAGATGGCCTGGCTTCTTGGACGCGGCCAACCTTGCCAACTGATCGGCCCGGGTGTTGTCCTCGCGCGGAATGTGCTCGACCGACACCTCCTGGAAGCTCGCCTTCAATTTTTGATAGGCGTGATAGTATTTCATCATGCTGTGGTCCTTTACTTGGAAATTTCCGCCAACTTGCTCGTCCACCACTTTGGAGTTGGTTCTGCATTTGACTCTTGACGCGCCCATGTCCTCAGCCAGCCTTAATCCGGCCAATAGAGCTTCATATTCGGCTTGATTGTTTGAAGCTTTGAACCGGAAACGTAAGGATTGTTCCAGGGTTATCCCTCTCGGTCCTTCTAAAATCACTCCCGCCCCGCTCCCCTGGCTGTTTGAGGAACCGTCTACATGGAGGGTCCACCAATGTTCCTCAAATTGGTCATGTGGGTGAAGCTCATTCACGAAGTCGGTGAGGCATTGAGCCTTGATCGGCCCTCTCGGCTTGAAGGTAATGTCGAACTGTGAGAGTTCTATCGACTAGGCCATCATTCTTCCGGCGAGTTCGGGTTTACCTAGCACCTTAGCGATTGGACAGTTAGTGTGTACGACCATTCGGTGGCTCTAGAAGTAATGATGTAGGCGTCGGGAAGTGTGTACTAAACCGAGCGCCACTTTTTCAATTAACTGGTATCGGGTTTCTGCATCTTGCAATAGTCGGCTGGCAAAATATATGGGAACTTGGGCGCCTTCTTTTTCTTGTAACAGAACCGAACTGATCGCCTCCTCGGACACGGCCAGGTATACCAGTAGCAGGCTCAGAGGATCGGGTTTCCGAAGATTTCGGCTAGGTCGGTCAAGTGCTCAGTCAGAGAGTTGGATTTGACCACCATATCATCCACATAGATCTCGATGTTTCGGCCGATCTGACCCTGAAATACCTTGTCCATTAACCTCTGGTAGGTCGCCCCGACATTCTTCAGTCCAAACGCATTACTTTATAACAAAAGTTGGCGCTTTCGGTTATAAACTTCGTCTTCTCTTCGTCAGCCGGGTGCATTTTGATTTGGTTGTAGCCGGAGTAAGCGTCTAGGAAGCTGAAGATAGCATGTCTGGACGCACCGTCGACGAGTCGGTCGATGCATGGGAGTGGATAGGCGTCTTTGGGGCAGGCTTTGTTGTGGTCGGGGTAGTCGATGCAAATTCTCCATTTCCCATTTGATTTTTTGAATAACACCACATCAGCTAACCAGGTGGTGTATGTAACCTCCCGGATGAACTTTGCGTGTAGCAGTTTTTGCACCTTGGCGTTCGCTGCTTTTCTCTTCTCGTCCCCGATCTTCCTCTTCTTTTGGGCAACCGGTCGGGCGTCTCGGCACACATCCAGTCGGTGACACAAGAACGTGGGATCTATCCCTGGCATGTCCGATGCCGTCCATGCGAATAGGTCCTCATTATCTCGAACCGCTCGTTTCACCTGGTTCGAGTCGGCTTTACTCAATTGGGATCCCAAGTGCGTGACCTGCTCGGGAACTCGACCCAGCTGAAATGGGATGAGGTACTCTGCGGGCTCGATTCGCTCTTCTTCTCCTAACCGAGGATCGAGGTCGATGTGCTCGGTCATCTCTTGTCTAACCACATTTACGCCTCTTGTCGCCGTCTGGGGGACGGCTATAGGTTGCACCTTCAAGCTAGAGAGGTAGCATTCTCTTGCTGTTTTCTGGTCGGCGTGCACGGTTATTACCTGCCCCTCCGACGGAAATTTCATGCATAGGTGGGGTGTCGAAACAATAGCCCCCAACGCATTGATTGACGGTTGGCCTAAAAGAATGTTGTATGATGTGTTTGCGTGCACCACAATGTAACGGATTTTAATCTCCCGGTAAGACTTTTGATCGAACCCGAAGCGGGTGTACAGGTCGATGCTTCCCCTGGTCATCGCTCTTTTGCCTGAGAAGCCGACCAGTGGTTCGTGGTATGGCTCTAGGCTCTCCTCTGGGATTCCAAGCTGCACAAAAGTATTCCAGTACAAGATGTCGGCCGAGCTCCCTTGGTCGACCAATGTTTTCTTCACGATGCAGTTGTACATTTCGACCGAAATCACCATGGGGTCGTCCTGTATGGGGTCAACGCCATGGAAGTCCCGGTCGAAAAAGGTTATAGGAGGCATTCTAGGCATCCTCGGTTGGTTCACACTGTTTACTGATCGGACGGCACGGAGGTGTCATTTTCGTGCTGAAGAAGTGGACCCGCCTCCGGCGAAACCTCCTGCGATTGTGTTGATCACCTTCCGTGGTCGGTCATTGTCTTCCTTGGGGCGCTGCGATCGGTCTTGTCTTTCGGGCGAACGCGATCGACGACGTCGGTCTCTCGGCATACGAGCTTCGCGAGAGTGGTGGTCTCTTTCCCTTGACTGGTGGTCTTGGGGGGTGATAAAGCTTCTGAGGTGACCCTGCTTGATAAGATCCTCGAGCTTGTCCTTCAGTGATGAGCATTCTTCGGTGGAGTGCCCCCTGTTTCGGTGGAATCGGCATGCCTTGGCTTTATCGGCTCTGGGGGACGTGTTTGCCCTTTTCGGCATCGCAAGGATTTCTGATGCGAGGGCCTGTTCCATCACTTTGGCTCTACTCGCATTGAGGGGAGTATACGCCGTATAGCGAGGTCCTCTCGGGGGACGAGTATTTGAGGGCTCGGCGGCCATTTTCTTTACTTGCTCTTGGCCAGATTCTTTTCGGCTATAATTTTCTTCGACCCTGGCCTGGTTTCGGGTCTCTGCAAGTTCTTCCATTTGCATGTACTTCTCGGCTCGGCGTCGGAGGTCGTTCATATCGGCAGACGGCTTCTTGCACAAGCTGTTAACGAATGGTCCTGGCCGGAGGGCCGTGTTTAGCCGGTCCAATGCCACGGCAGGATTGAGATCACCAATCTCCATTGCAATCTTGTTGAATCAGTCCATAAAGCTTCTCAGGCTTTCCTTCTTTTCTTGACGAACCCCCGCCAAGGCCAAAGAGGTCATCTTGTAGGGCTTGCTCGTTGCGAATTGTAGGGTGAACTGGGACGATAATTCGCTGAACGAGTCGATGGAGGCGCTCGGCAGTCTCGTGAACCAACTCAAAGCCCTTCCTTTCAGCGACGTGGGGAATATCCGGCACAACGCCGAGTCGTCTTGAGTGGAGAGGGTTGCTTGAGTTAGAAAAACGTTCAAGTGTTCCTCGGGGTCGGATGACCCGTCATACTTCTCGATCGGCATGCTCTTCCAATGGTCTAGCAGGGTTGCCTCCATTATCCTACGAGAGAAGGGATGCCTTAGGGAGTGAGTGTTGGTGTCGGCCTTGTTAGCTATCAATGAGGTGACCGATGTTCGGGTTACAGGGTCGGTTGGGGCGTGATATGCCGACTCCTCTTGGAGAGTAGGAGTCGAGGGCACATATGTCTGGTTAAGGCCTCGAAGTTTAGCGTTCTGTCGACGTATTTCGGCCAACTCCCTGGCATCGGCTTCTCTCTGTCTCCGGATGGTAGCCATTTCCTCGCGCAGGGCGCGCAAGTCATCTTGAAGGTCAGGCTGAGTTTGGTTAGCGTTCGGCTGGGCCTCTTGTATCACAGGCTCCGGTTGAGTCTGGGGCATTCCGTACGGATAACGTTCTTGGTTGTTCATGGCAGGATTGCTTTCGAGGTTAGGAATTGGGTGAGTCGTTGTCGATTGTCCTTTGCGCGTTGTTACCATGTCTCGGTCTCAGCTATAGAGTTTTAAGGGGCTGGAAACGTCTCTTCGGCCCCACGGTGGGCGCCAAATGTTCCTGTGTTCTTCGGCCCCACGGTGGGTGCCAAATGTTCCTGTGTTAGGATACACACTTCAATTATCTGTTGTAACGGGTCGGATCTTGGGTCTCGGTCTTCTCGTTCCTATCCGAGCAGTCCGAAGTGAGGGGGGATGTGCCTGCAAAGACACTCCGACGCTCAAGTTAGTGCTCGGCGTAATAAATGCGGTAGTTGAAAAAGATTAGTTACGTACCTCGAATGTGGTCTATTTATAGTGTTTCTTATTGGGCCGTGATTAGGAGCTGGGCCCCGGAAAATTAGGGGGCTAATCCGGCTTATTCCTTAAATTAATCCTTTCGTAATCATACTGGTGGAGTCCCAGGGATCGACCGACTCAACCGACCCCCTTTGCTTGGCGAGTGGTCGGTGTGTTCGGGTAGTGGTTTCGGTCTACATTGGGTTCGGGTATTCGGTCGGGTTGGCTTCGGTCCCATACGGTATAGTATCTTAATTTAATCAATGTTATAGCATACGAATTCAGTCATGTAGCTTTATTCATATTGGGAGGGAGGGAGAAATTTGTCATTATCATTTAGAGTGATCTTATTTGGTCGACCATAAAAGAAATTGAATAGAAATGGATTATATTAGTTTTCTTTATTTGAAATATTTTAAAATAAAATAAATTTGATATACCTAAAGTCTCAGCAAAAAATAAAAAATAAAAAATAAATGTTAAATAATAGGCCTCGTGTGTTCAGCCATAAATAATAAAATAAGCATCTGGCGTGCAGCGTGGTACTCGTGGTGCGTTAGGAGCAACTGGCGCACAAGCAAGGTTCTCGCAATCGCAGCGCTCCTTCCTCCTTGCAGTAGCGTGATACTCGCTTGCATAAAGAAATTCATTTTTGGAATTTAAGTATTTCTTTTTATTCAAATGTGTATCTAATCTTTTAATTTTGGAATAAATTTGTTTTGCATGTTTCTTTTATTTATCAGTATTACGATGATGATGATAACAAAATTCAAATTTAGGATCCTATTACACAAGTCAATTTACTGAAATAAAATTGTATCTTCTGGGGAAAAACTTGACTTGATTAATTGTGGTTATGGAATTGATTAATATAAAAATTGGTATTGACTACATGCAAAAGTTCTTAATTTTGATTGCTCTTAGTATGACTGAAAAAGGTACACAAATCCAAGAATTTGCATTACCTAACTGTAGTGAGGGCCTATTGGTATGCTGTAATATATTTGTGATGGGCAGATATATTTGAGATGTAATGTTTCTTTTGTCGATGTTGTTTAATTAAAAAAAAAAAGGTTTTATTTGTCTAAGTAGATGAGTTTCTATCTAAAATTTGACTTATTTTTTATCTTTAATTGGTATGTTGATATATTTTTTTTAATAAATTTTCATTTAATTGATAAAAAAATAATCAACTATAAAAAATATTATATATATTGACATATAAAAATATTATTATAAATATAATATTTATAGACATAAATTTTTTTAATATATAATTATATATAATTTTA